CAATACTCCCCTAATCCATCCATCACTTCTTGTACTATACTCCCCTAGCCCGCCCATCGCTTCTTGTTCAATACTCCCCTAACCCATCCATCACTTCTTGTACAATACTCCCCTACCCCACACATCACTTCTTGCTCAATACTCCCCTACCCCACCATTACTTCTGGTACAATACTCCCCTACCCCACCATTACTTCTGGTACAATACTCCCCTACCCCACACATCACTTCTTGTTCAATACTCCCCTACCCCACCCATCACTTCTTGTTCAATACTCCCCTACCCCACCCATCACTTCTTGTTCAATACTCCCCTACCCCACCTATCACTTCTTGTACAATACTCCCCTAACCAATCCATCACTCTTGTTCAATACTCCCCTACCCCACCCATCACTTCTCGTACAATACTCCTCTACCCCACCCATCACTTCTGGTACAATACTCTCTTACCCCACCCCTAGCTTGTGGTACAATACTCTCCTACCCCTCCCCTCTTCAGTATCGTTCATACCTGTGTTGTATACTTGTTCCTGTTTGTATTGGGTTGTTGTGGTTTGATTGTGTTGTTGTTGATGTGTTGATGGAAAAACTGTAAAAAAAACCCAGGAATACAATCGTTCGTCATCAGCACTAAAGCAATAAATCAATGCATGAAAATAATAAACCAAATATGCAGCTAATTAATGGTATTGTTCAATTCTAAGTTCTATTACTTTTTCTGAGTATACCACACTGCGCTAAAACGTCTTAACCTTCTCGGTTTTATTTCTATTTTCCTTTTCTTTCCTTTCCTTTCCTTTCCTTCCTTCCCTTTCCTTTTCTTTCCTTTCCTTTTCTTTCTAGCGGCATGCATGATATAAATCTTTCAATTCCAATTAATATTTCTTGTTCGCTATCTCTTCTTAGTAGCTATTTCAGTGCGCAACAAGCATCCTTATCGTAAATCCCTTCAAAGCTCCAGAAATTTACCTGCTTTCAACGTAATTTCTTTTAATATTTCACTAGCCTCCAGCAGTTTTCGTTGCTCTGCAAAGAAACAAGTACAGAATTGAATATTTTTTTTGCTATAATCAAACGTTACTTGTTGAAAAAGGGAATCTCAAAACGCGCGCAAATCAAGATGCCATTTGTACTGCTAGAATCACGAGCTGCCTGGAGTTTTACCTGTTTGAATAGAGCTGGTAAATGTTCCCTTTGCATTACCAAAGATAAAATATTCAATACAAAATTCTATTGCGTAATAAAATACAAATACACCGCTAAATATCAGGACTTCGATCATCGTAATGTTATCAGTTGTGCTACCAAACTAAAACTGAAGTCATTAGTCTAATGATTTGCTTGTGACGTAATATTTCGAACGCGCACGAAATGACGTCATGTTCGAATATGACTAAATATGGCTAATAGTACTGACGTCATCACAGGGAACCCAAGCATGGTTTTTCTGCGAATCAGATCACAGGTAGCCCAAGCTTGGTTTCTGTGGTGTCCTGTTATAAGGAAATGTATGTAGATTCATCAAAAATTTCAATAAAATCATTGAAACGTGAAACAAAGCCTCGAAATTTTACCCGATCATTGAGAAATAGCACTTCTTTCGCTCTGCGTGGTTATTTTTTGAATTTAGCCCGTTTTAAGATTTTTTTCCCCACCAGTAAGAAATAAGAGAAGACTCTTATTTCTTATTTCAAGCTTGGGCTACCTGTGCTCAGATACTATATACAGTAAGTGCATGTGATAAATCAAACTGCCGATATGTGATACGAAGACAGTTCTTGTGTGATGAGTTGTCAGCTGTCTATGAACATTATAATAAAAAATCTTCTCATTAATAATTCATGAGAAAAACTACCAATAAAGAACGTGACCTGGCGTTTATAAACCTGATACAGCACGGCCACTCAAAACTCAAAAACCCAACGGAAATCAAACGTCAACAACAACTGAAAGCACATACAACGCTTTTTCAATAACTTCTATTTGTTAAGCTTCCTTTGTTTTCAAACGTTGGCAAAAGATTGCTTTTTATTACCTACATAGTCCCTCAAAAATTTGCAGGTTATTCATTCAGTGGTTGTGAGCATTTTTTGTGCGCATCTTTGAGGAAGAAATCCAAGATTTCACTTGGTGGGTACCAAGTAACCCCACCCTCCCCTCCACTCTAAATCGGCTCCCTTATTGTGATATAAAATTCTGTGGAAAGAAAGCAGTAAAAGAAATTGAAAAGAAAAAAAAAAGATCTCTCGTCAAAAGAACGGTTTTCACTCAAATAAAATATACGATTTTTATTTGTTTTTAATTAGTTTGTTAGAACTATTTACAAATTGGGAGGTTAGTTGAGTCTTGTCGTAAATCCGCCGAATGTAATGCTGAGAGAACGATTGAGATTAAGATGAAGTGTTCTATCAGCATCCCACGTGTTTAGGCCGCAGTATCTAACATTCCCATGCAAGACTGATTCAATGAGTTGACGAGAACTGCTCGTATAATGCAACGCGAGTTTGATTATTAAAGCAGGAATATATGAAGTGGACATGGCATCCCATTTTAGATGTGTTCTACTGGGAGTAAGATCATTTTAGTTATACGCGGACGTATCTACCCAAGCGTTGCTCATAGACGAAGAAATAATAAGTGACACCCAATTCACAGTAAATGTACGTGGTTATGAAAATAATTCACGGATTGTATTACAATTTACAAAATAATCTGCATTCTTTAACCACATTCTCATACTGTTTTTCTTTTTTTTTCTCTCTCTCTCTCTTTTTTTGGGGGGGGGGGGGGGGGGGGGGGGGCTCTCTGTGACCAACGAGATTGACACGTGGTCTGAAGCGGAAAAGAGGAGGATGAGGTGAAAAACGTTGATAAGGTACGTGTCTGAACGTTAGGCATTAGTCGTGTTCTTTTCTTTCCACATTCTTGCCATCTGTAGCAGCTTGAAGTTGGGTAAGCTGTCTTGATCGTCAGGAAATATGTAGTCGTAGTATTCTTCCCATCCTGCGTCAGACTGAAGGAAAATAGGAGAGGAATCTTTATAAAAAATTGACAACAGACAAATCCCCAAGTATAGAAAAGTCACTATCAATACACGTCATTTTATTTCAGGTGTCATATGGAATTTTACCAGCTGAAAAGAGTGTTGTTGTGTTGTTCATACGACTCAGTAGGACGCTCACAATATAGACCCTTTTCAAGTTCCAAATTACCGCTGTGTTTCTTGATTACAGACTCATTTATACTCAGGCTTAGACTCGATTTTGTGAAGAATATCACGTTTTCCAGTCAAGGTCCGTCAAGTTTCAAAGTGTTCGTATTGTTGAAGTTGTGCATTCTTTACTTTACCGTTGGTGTTTGCGAGTAATTAGACGCTAATTCGTGGCTAAGCCTGAGTAAATAAGTCTGTAATCAAGAAACACTGCGGTAATTTGGAACCACTAGTCATTATGACTTGAAGATGGTCGAGATAATGTAAGGAAAACAACATATTTATGAATTTACCCCATCGTCGCTTTGAACCTTTCGTCTTTTCTTGACTCGTCGAGGCATCTTATTCTTGACGAGCTGTTTACTTGATTCATCATCACCTTCGTCCTGAAGAAATTAAAAATAACAGGAACCTGGTATTTAAAACTCATGTCTATAAGAGAGATCATAGAGTGGTCTACACACCCATCGCTACTCTAAACAGCAGCCAAGACCCGCATGGCGCTGCCAGGCCGTGACCGAAAACTACACATAGGCAGATCTCGGATTTTCGAATTCTGGGATCCCTATCGTAAACAGTGCACTTTAATTTTCGATCAAAAGAGACCCACGTCTACGTATTCTGTAAGCATGTAAAGTAGATTCAAACTAACATCACACTCTCAAGCCTCTCAGATAGACGCTAGGGCAACATTACCAAGCACCGCGCAGAAGCCCGTATTCTCTAAGCACGTACATTAAAGTAGATTCAAACAAACCTCAAAATCTTTCCAGGCCTCCAGCAGCATGACTCGTTCTTCTTTGTTACTCGTGTTCTTCAAATGCTTGTCTGCGCGTTGGAAGATATTTCTAGAATCAAATATACAATGTTCAGTAATCTTTCTAGTTGTCACTCGATGGACTTTTATATGACGTGACCCCATGTTTATAAAAACTTTCGCCCGTTTAAACTCATCCTGAAGATTCTGAAGCGCAAAGCACTTAAATCCCTAGTCTCCTCTGCCACCGTCATTAGTTTTGGTTCCAGATCCTCCCGGGAGGGATTGAATCCGAGGCCAAAAGGAGAAAAATCTATTGTTCCATACGACACATGGGTGCCAAGTGAAAACGAACCATAAATCCTAACCAACGTTCTCCCATTTCAGACCATGTTCCCACATTCCCTTAACTATCACTATTTTGATCAATAATAAAGCTTAATAAGATACACCAATACTAGAGTGAAGGCATTTAACCCGTGAAATAAAAATTATCAATCAACGTGTAATAGTCAAATAGATACAAAAGAAAACAATGGAATTAGGGTCTACTAAAGTGTATTAGTCTAATGCCTATTTCACGGGTTTAATGACTTCACTACTATATTCACCTGGCTTGTTCTCTTGATGCTTCTGCACCTGTAGATGATTCAAACTGTCCGTAACTAATCCATACCTGAAAAATATATTAGTCATTGTAATCAGAGAGATTGCCCCTTACATGTATCGCCAATCAGCTTATGGCTGATGTAAGTCAGGAAACGGCTAACTTACAGATTGCATTGGAATTTAGCCTGTAAGGTTTTGCGGAGGGAGGGGAAGAACCTGAAACCCTCGAATCAAGGAAGAAACTGTGCTCACATTTGATGATGTCGAGCCCAGAAATCAACCCCTGCGAGACCCCAGAGGTGAGAGGCGAGTCAATAGAGACATTTAGCACGACGTTCTTACTACAGCCCTGCAAACCTCAAACTACAGTTTGACGTCAGGCGTTTTCCGTCAAACGTTTGACATTTAGCAAGGCGTCTTAACGAAGTTGTTGCTGGAAGAGCCGCCATATTGAATTTTTCATTGATGCAGATAATTTCTCTGTGTTTGCAGGTATTTTTCTGGGCCTAAACCTTAGCAGATAGCGCTTAGCGGTAAAACTGATGCTAAAGGTCTCTATATCATTGGATTTGCTAACATGAAAGCTCGTTATGCTAAGTTTGGGAATCCAGTCAATGATATGACCATTTGTATCTCATCCAGGTGGACAGACAGACTAACCTTGACGTGGTTGGTTCGCTGTAGCAGTCGCTCGTAAAGGTCACGTACTCTATCGTATTCTTCTAGGTTGATCTCAAAGTCAATGTATGCCTTCCACAACACCTGTTGAAGAAAACGATGGTTAGTATTCTGAAGAACACATACAAACAATGTTCGAAAAGCCTTTATTTATAGTGATACGAATTTATTCATAAATTTTAAGAATAGACTAAGCCCTGGGGATCTTACATTTCTTTGTGAGAGCTTTCTTGATGGGCTTATAACCAGGGGTGCACATAACCAGAAGGAAAAAGAGTTTGTGATGAAGACTGGTAACACGGTTGTTTCTTTTTTTAACGTCACCATCTCGACATGCCAGACGGAGAAGCTTATAACCAGGGGTGCACATAACCAGAGGTATATTTTCGGGGGTAGGAGGGAGGGGGCTTATGACCGGAGGGTGCTTATAACCGGGATTTTGCGGTATTTATTCTCATTCCCGCTTGTTTCTTCTATTTATTGAAAGATTATATTTTGCACAATTTAGATACGAACCTCGGGCATGTCAAGTAGTGGTTGAGAAACTGCTAGTTCAAAGATCGCTCTACATCGATCAGCATCTCCTAAAATAGCTTCCAGCTCTGCAAACTGGAAATAAAAGAATAGAATGAGATGGGATGGGATAGGATTAGAGGAAATACAGTAATACCGGTATTTGAACAAGCAACATGGGCTAATCTAGGATTTTGTGAAACGGAGTTTCGAAAATTAAAAAGACCTTTTTGGCTTGGGCGTAATGTTTTCCTAAGTACAGACCATATGCCATCCCTAGAGTATTATTTCTTTCTTTAACGGGTGAACATGAGATGACACATGAATATGGATACAACTCAAACAAAGAATCTCATTCTCAAGAACATGACACGTGTTCTGAAATGGGAAAAAATTACGTCCAATCTAAAAAGGTCTATTTGAAGCTAGAATGGAGATGTGTGTGCATGGGCACCCTATGACCACCCCCTAAATCAATTATCGAGCATCAAGCCCTATTTAATAGACAAGTTAATAGGATGATAATACCAACCTTAACCCAAGTGGTACAATTAGCAGGGGAAAACTCCAGGAATTTCTCATACAGCTTTCTACAGCGGTCAAATTCTCTTAGCTGAAACAACAACAACAAAAATAAAATAAAATAAAAAATCAGGGAAAGTCTACATATTTAGCAATGAATTTTGCAGTATCTTCATAGAATCTATTGCAAGTACACTGTATAATGTGTATGGTTTTGTGTAGGGGATTAAGGATAGCATAGTGGTAATACACTTGCCTCACCTCTGGGGGGGTTGGGTTTGATTCCTGTACTCAGCACCACATGTGAGTAGAGCTTGTAACAGTTTCTCCCTTGATTCTGTAAATTAGCTGTATTCTGATTTCGTTCAGGTTATCAATGCAATTTGAAGCATGCATGAACAGTTTAATTTACAACTTTATTCTTAATTTAAATCTTTTTTTTTTGAATCTTAATCTTACTTGAAGTTCTAGACCAATGTATTCACGAAATAACTTGTCTTTTGGACATTTACCAATAGCAGTTCCCTAAAGAACAAAAAGAAAACATCAAGTATACGACAACATCAACATTAGTAAGAACTTCTTGTCAGATCATTCATTGACTCATTGACTGATTCATTCATTCATTGATACATTCATTCATTCGTTGATAGATTCATTCACTCATTCATTCATTCATTCACTCATTCATTCATACATTGATTGATTGATTGATTGATAGATTCCTTCACTCATTTATTGATTTATTGAATGATTCATTGATTCGTTCTGATTTATTAAATTCATTGATTTATTCATTGATTGATTAATTGACTGATTGATTGATGGAATGTTTGATTGATTGATTATGCTCACCAAGGCCTGTCTTGCTGCCTTCAAGTTTTTCTGTCTGATTTCAAACTGTGCATAGAGCAGCCACATCTTGGCAAACGTAAACTGCAAGAACAAACAGAGAACATTTCAGGGAAAATTAGCAAAAAATAACTTTACAATAATTAATGAATAAAACCAAGAGAGCTTTATACCTTTTTGTGTGGGATGAGATCCAGACAAGCTTGATAAACTTGTCTTGTACGATCCACGTCCTGGTTATAGAATAAAGAAAATGAATGCATAAATGAATGGATGGATTTGATTGATGGATAAATAAGTGCAATGGATAGGTGCATGTATGCATGGATTGTAAGGAATGGATGAACAGATGTTGACAGATTACTGACAGAATGGGCTTTGAAGAAATTGGTAAATTTTTCAGCTTTTTTATGTTCCCTCCCCCCCCTAAAAAAATTCTCTAAAAATAATTGCCTTGGACTCACTTACTCACACTTACATATGTTATAGTAGACTGCTTCATTAAAGCAGATTTCTTAGGTGATATCAAAAGCTTAATAATGGGAATAAAGTGATTACACAGAATAACTCTTCCTTCACTAAATTCCACACAGAATCATGGAAAGAAGAAAACTAGTCAACTGAAGAAGAAAACCCCAAAGTAGAACTCTAGCCAACAAACAACTCTACTCACACGTTATTCAGAATCTGGTAATCAAATCTGGGTTTCACTGGTGAGAGGCAAGTACCCTCACCTCTAGACCACCCAAACGTCTTTCATTGTGCAGTGTGTTTGCTATGTCACTTATACAATGTCTTACCTGGGCTATGAGTTCTTCATAGAGACAATAATTTATCCACAGATAGATATAACGACGCCACAACCTTTTCTCCTATACATCATCAAAAACAGATCATTAGATGAACTGAATTTCCCTTGTAAATGATACCACAAACAAGCCATGATAACTGTCCTCAAAAACTAGTAATAAAAGCTCTTAAGTCAAAAATACAGGTTTAATTAAACTCCCAAGCTCCTCTAAGTTAAGAAATTGAGGAGGTATGGAACTGCCATTTTCTGTGGCCAACCAAAGCACACGCAGATGTAAGCTGTCATTTGTACTATAGACATACCAATCCAAGGTACCAACTAGAAGTAATGTATATACATATTGAGAAAAATACTGTGCAAAGCGGATTGAACCCTGAAGTCCCAGAGGTGAGAAGTGAAAACTCAAAACATGTAAAAAATGTGTACTTACAGGAGCAGGGGGAACATTAGCGATAGCCCTTTCATAGATATCACGTACAGCCTCAACTTCCTCTTCATTCTCCATCAAGCGAAGATAATCAAACCAGGCATCATAATTTGTTGGATTGATCTTGACTTCCTATTTAACAATAATTATCCATTGAATCCATTCATTTACACTTTGTTTCACCTACTATGTACTTATTGACTGAGTGGGAGGGCCGTAAGGGAAAATATTTGGCTCGAGGTGATGCCGTACGGACCGAGTGCAGTGAGGTCCGTACAAATGACCGAGAGCCAAATATTTTCCCATACAGCCTGACCTAACTCAGTCAATAAGCATTTTATCATATGACCCTCATGAAAAGAAAAATAATTTTAAAAAAAGAAAGCGCGCGGGTTCGAGTACAGATTCGTACGGCCCTGCTCGCTCAAAGCGGTAAGGCCCTGCTCATGCCATTTTCCCGAAGGATTTTCTAAGAGTGCGCGCACAGGCAGATACAGGTCATATGGTAATGAAGGTTATTCACTCACCAAATACAGTAAGTATTTATTGTTTGTATATTCATAAGATTTTATTCTCCCAGATATTCAAAAAAGGTGAAAAGACTTATCCACACAATTCAACAAAGTCCTTGGTGTCAGCCCTACGGGCCACGCAGGCATAAAGGATGATGATGATGACATTTCAACAACCTAACACTTTCTGTAGGGGCTAGATTCCACACTACAGCAATGTTATTAATCATTTAAAATTAACTGAGTGTTGATCTTTCAAACCTACTGTATTAGTAAGGTACAACATATCAAACAAACTCAACCCAATTTGAAGTAACTCACAATTCTTTAAAACTAGTCAGTGGTTGTAGGTGATTACTCTCTACCCTTGCTAATCATTCTTAATGTTTTTTTAACAACTTTATCAGGAAACTAATATTACAATGTGTTGAATGGAAAAAACTAATAGTTACCCAGAAAGGAAAGTCACAAACGGGACATGAGACCCATGCGAGGTGACCAATGTTAAAATAAAGATTAATGTGAATATTTTAAAACTTTGATAAGATTACCTCTTCATATTGGAACTTCCTTTTGCTGACGATAACATTTTCTATTCCTCCCTTATCACCATATTTTTTTTCATGCTGTGTGTAGTTTTTGTAGAGTTCCTGAAAAAAAAACCCAGCAATAATGTAAAGCTATAAATTAATTTAGACCAGGATCATGAGTCATAGTTTAGGTGTGATCAATACCCAGGAGTCAGGTGTAGAATAGAGTAATTAAGCCCTAGCTAAACGAGGGAACATATTTCCAGAAAAATTACATTTTTCAAGTCATTTTCAAAGGTGGCTAAACTGCCAGAAAACATTGGGAAAAAAGTGTAACATCATTTCCAAGCAGCTCAAAACCACTAAAGGCTTCTGCCATGCTAAAGAAAAATATTTTTCTTCTTGGAAGCAAAATTTGTCGGGCGTATCAATTTTTCACGCTAAACTGAGAAACATTGATGAAGCATGTTCTCGAGAATAAACATGTTTCCTCCATCAGCAAAAGCTTAATTATGAAACAATTTTAATAATATATCAGCCATAAGCAACAATACCTGACACTGTTCTTTTGGTAGATGATCCAGTGCATACTTGTATATTACTCTAACTCTGTCATGCTAAACAACAATCAAACCGGAACATTCATTAGATTATCATGTGGAGCCAAAAAAATAAGAACTCAAAATAAGTACCCAAGATGAATACGCAAAATAAGTACCCAAAATGAGTACCCAAAATGAGTACCCAAAATGAGTACCCAAAATGAGTACCAAAATGAGTACCAAAATGAGTACCAAAATGAGTACCAAAATGAGTACCAAAATGAGTACTCAAAACAAGTACCCAAAATGAGTACCAAAAATAAGTACCCACCATAAGTACCCAAAAAAACTTACATCACAAAACTGGTGGATACTGTGTTTTATAAATGATCACTGTCAGAAAGACAACTGACAAGAGCCCTGGTTAATAGGAATATTGGTACAGTAGAATATAGCCTATCCTCTTTATCCTGACAGCCTTCTTTTTTAGCATCTTACCTCTTTACAGTTTTCTTCAAATTTTCCAAAGGCAAGAAAAAGTTTTTCTTCAATGTATTCCTCACCATAGAATTCAACAGCCCTTTCAAAGACCTGCCGTGCTTTAGCTGGAACAAAAAGTAACAAAAAAAGCGCTATTGCAAAAAAAACTTTATATTTAATAATAACATTCAGGAAAAAATAGTCTTGCATTAGTATTAATTAATAATATAGCCCTTCTATTGTATGTCACAGGGATCAGACCTGTGAACCAGACATCTAACTCTTATTTTGCTGCATCTTTACTCACTATTTTACAATGAGCATTAGTAGATTGTGTGTTCAGCTGTATCATACAGTAACAGTAAAAAAGTAGCTTACATTATACATGTTCTTAATAAATATTTAGAAGAACCATTTATCGTGTCGCATCCTCCCAGAAACAAGAAGAAATTGAAGTTACATGTACATGTATTCAAGTCAAATTCCTCAAGTACATTGATACATCTGTAAAGGAAGTGTTCCTTGCAACTTGACATGCAATTTTGTAGCACAATAAGAAGTGTAAGTAGCTGTTACAACAACAGGGTAAGGCAATCAATCCAGTTCTACTGTGGCTATACTCACTTAAATCCCCCTGTCTTTCCTCAAACTTTGCAAACTTGATCCAGTTTTTAACCTCTGGGTGCACAAGTACAAATCTCTCATATATTTCCCTAGCTCTGTCCACCTCTTTGTAACGTAACTCCATGTTGATGTAAGAGTGCCATGCCTGTTCTTCTGGCTCCCATTCCATCCATCGCTCAAATACCTGCCTTGCACCTGTCACATTTCCGAGCATTTCTTCCATGTAAGTATACTTGTACCTAAAGCAAAACAAATGTGTTTTTAAAAGGCTAAACGAATTAGGGGTGTTTAATATTATTTTTTCACATGCATTACAGCTCACGGGGATGCTAAGTTGTCCATGTGTGATTTCCCTGGCAATGCCACACAGTGACTACACTCAAGTGCATGTACTGTAGTGCCTATTGCAACTCAACAATGAGTGCGTGCCTTTACTTATCGTTATGCAGTCTCGCTTGTTTTTAGTTAGAAAGCTGATATATGTTTTACAGCTGATTGAAAGTTTTCAAAGACGTGAAAGTCCTTTTTTGTGGCAAATTGACAAATTACCAAATTGCAATGTTGGCCTCTGAATAGTTAAGTTCCTACACTTCATGTTTGTCCAGTGTATGGATGTAGAACTTTGTGCAACTAATAAATATGTTTATCATTACCAGAACTGATTAACTCTTGGGAGAATTGAGACAGCCCTGTCCCAGATATTTCTTGCATGGTTGATTTGCCGATGTCTGAAAAAGAAACAAGACATAAAAATTATGCTGTATCATAAATACTGTAATGATTTTCTCTCTTAATATGCTAAGTTTTTATCGTATGTGCAGTATGATGTATATTGTAACATACAGTAGAAATAGCTTTCCACTTCTGTTACTTCTGTTATTTCATGACAAGTAGCAAGATTATTGAAATCTGGTCTACAAAGCCGCTAGCATGACATCAATATAATACAGAAATAATAATAGTATTATTGTGTAACACATTGACAAGTAAAATAACTAGGTTATCTCTAGTGTAATATAATTTATGCTGCTCTTGTGACTATAGATTGTAAAGCTGTTATTGTTTTTTGGTATTGTGATGTTAGCTGTACTGTATAAATGATATTACACCAAAGAGGCCAAAGAACTCACCTCATTTCCATTTCAGCATATTTCAGCCAGGTTGTAATATTTCTGTGATCAACATCCAGACCTCTCTCATACACAGACCTGGCCCTGTAGGTGTGACAAAATTACATGTGCAAAATGCTTACATGTATTACAACACCATGAATGGAGTTGGTAACCTTAAATACAAGTAACTTTTATGTTTAAGAAGTGTGATTTGGCAATGTCCATTGTTTCCTTCCTTTTGATTCAATGGTTGTGATCAGAATTGCAGTACCATACACTTTTAGCTACTGAATTACATAACCTTGGTAAAAAACACCATTGTTTCTCTCTTTTTCTTTTTTTTTTTTCTTCACAGGACAAGGAATTCAGGGCTTATTACAATGAACAATAACAGCCAGTCAACAGACAATGTCTGGTCAAATTATTGGAACTTGTCTGCAGTCTCTTGATTATACTGATTAGCCACAGGTTAGTCAGTCTGATGTGGCCAGTCATTATGTACATCCATTGTGTATCTCACTTTACTTCGCATGTGCAGAGAGAGAGACAAGTGAGACAAAACAAGATGGCTAGATAACTTTTACTAGACCACGAGGGCTAGCAAGCTTGATATCTTAACAATTAAAAAAAACGTCCTTTTTTCACGAGAGTAGCACTTAATAGTCAGTGGCTAACAAACCTGTGGCCCTCATTTCGTGATCGAATTGGAATTTAGGAGTTGATTTTAGCAGAGGGAGGAAAACCGGAGAACCTGGAAAACCCTGGAAGCACAGGAGAGAACCAACAAACAACTCTACTCATATACAACCCCAAGCCCAGCTGGACTCGAACTCGGGTTGCATTGATGAGAGGCAAGCGCTCACACCACTACACCACCCGTGCTTCATAATAACACAGTGAGCCCGATACTGACACATTGAGCAGTTTGGTTAGAGGAGGATAGGTACAGGTACAATAATACAAAAATTATAGCCTACGAATTAAAGAATTAGAGATGATGGAGCCAAAATGGCACATACAGGTGTAGGGCCTTCACAGAGCTCTTATTGTATTATCATCCTTCACCTTATTTCACTCGTAAATACCTATTAATGACATATTTCATTGTTTCATACCTTTCAATTTCTCTCTGACTTTCTTCCCATTGGGCATATTTAAGCCAGTTGGAAACTGAAGATCTGTTTTTACGAATGGTATCCTCAAACTCCTAATTAAAAGAATAACAGTCCAGAACAAACACAATAATGAGATTTTTTCATGTCTGCTTAGACACATTAGTACAAAAATATTGACATGTATTGAGGGTAAGGTATGGGAACTAAAACTCTCCAACACAGGGGTTTCATATCAAAATATAAGGCAGAATAATGCAATATTTTTGCATGAAAAAGATTTCATTACCCAAAGGATTAAATTTCTACTATTTTGCTCTGCAACATGCCTTCCATAAAATCCCTCTAATAACTATACAACACACTGTACATGATTTGGAACTGATACATGTAAAAACAGCTGTTGATATAGGGCTTAAAACAATGGCTGGTAAGTCGCTGGTCGCAATGATTGGCCAAATTAGTTTAGCTCAGTCATATACCTTGTTGCAGGCTTATGTTACTGGTCAAAATGAAGGGCACGGCAAAAATTTGACCGGACAAGTCCCAGTGCTGGGTGGACATGTCCGGCTGTTATTTTAAGCCCTGTGATAGTGTCAAATTGACCTCTCTATGTCACTAGAACAGAGATCAATTATGACCTTTTGAGAACATCATGGAATATTTCATAATAAAGTAAGATAAGTGATAAAAAATAGTTCAAGTATAATATACACAGTAACAGTAATTTTAAGACGCAAACCTTTCTTTTTCGTAGTTTGTACTCTGCAAGCTCATCAGGATCTGAGATTTTCTGTTTTGGTGGCTGTAAGAAAGATGAAACTAAAATTACAAATCACCACTTTCTTTCATGTCTTCTGAGGGTTACCTACAGTACACATGCAGTATGTCTGTGCCTTTATCATCATAGGACCTGGCGTAATCAATAGAACAAAACTGAATGTTCAATTCCATCTAATCCAATCAAATGATTGGGTTTGATTGCATTTGGAGATGGAATGTAATCAAATTGACAAAAAAAATGGAGCCAATTGAAACGATCAACTCCACATTTTTTTAGCATTTGATTTTGTTTGATTGCTGAATGCAATTGAATTCAAACATGTAATTGCGTTTGATTGAATTCCATTTCCATATCATTCGATTGATTATGCCTAGATAGGGGAAGCAAATAAATGTTATAAATACAGTATGTGGAATCTTTCCTTACCGGAGCTACAATCTCAAGCTGTCTCTCCTTTGCTTCTCTCAGAAGCTGTTCTGCTGTGATTTGAACAGGAGCTGGGGCTTTGTTCTTCACCTGAAATTGCAAAGTCAGATATACCATTAAAATATCTCTAAGATGTGCTTCAGAAAAGGGGAGCTTAATCTCCTCTTAATAACAACTCATCCCTAATTATAACTAGCTAATAGAAACTCTTTATTTTATAGATGAATATAACATCAAAATGTGAGTCAATGATATTTACTGCCCAGAGACATGTTATTACCCAACACAGGTAACCCACCTTAATTGCCAAAAGTGGTGTTCCTTTTTTATCACATAAACGTAATCCTTTCAATTAATCTTTCTAGTATAGCATCTACTGCTTAGGAATAATTATAAAAGTCTATTCTACCAAGTATCAGCTCATGATGTGTGTCATAATTTTCAAAGAGTCTGAGTCTGAGAAAAACATGGCCCACTCTTTCTTTCCCAAGAAAAATACTGGTATTTCTTCAAAAATGGAATTAGTTTGTTGTAGCATTAGCTCCATTCCTTTATCAAGAAGAGAGTAACTAGTTTAAATTTACTTCAAAGTAAATGCACTGTACGTAAAATCTACGTTAGACATGACTTTAGAACAACTTCGCACGTGTGACACAAGAGTTGACGTTAAAAAAACACACAAAATAATTACATTATTGAGGTTAAATTCAATCCTAGCACACAAACCTTAGCTACTTTAGGAACTCTTTTTCCCGCTCCTGACTCCGAAGAAGCCATTTTCTCGTATTTTCGTCAAGAATAGAACGAAAAACTCAGAGATTGTAAAATAAAATTTTGAAGTTGGAGAGAGTTTACGAGAGTGCATCATGGGAGTCGAACAACTTCGTACCAATCGATAATTATTCGAGATGTAGTCGATAATTAATCGTGACTGGTTCTTGATTGCAAACATGGCAAGGGTTTGTCGTTCGACAATGTCTTGTTTTTATCGTCTTTTTAGAAGTTCTTTTAGGTCTCCTCTTAAGATTACGTATCAGATGGTTAGAGAACAACATGTAAAGTCTTCTGTACAGACAGGAGTACAGTATGCAGATAAGGTATGTTTTCAAATCTTGGTTTCACGTTCGATGAAGTGTTCGTGGGGTCACGTAAGCGTGCAATTACTAAGTTATTTGAGCTATTTTCAAGAATCAATAAAGCAACGACAGAGGCCTAAGACTTATCTTCGTTAGCTAATTACGATACCCTTGGTCCGCATTTATTAATCTGTTAGTTTTTATTTTGTAGATAAAGCATTGCAGTTCGTTCAAATGAATTTACTAGTATATTGCATGTGTTCAGCTAGCATAGTACTATACATTTGATGGACGTTTTTAATGTAAACATGGAAGGTCATTGATCGGAATTAATTTTCCCGCACAGGGACAAACTTTAGTTTTAATTTTTGAGGCCCTTTTCATGTGTCTGTAACCGGTAGCATCGTGGTGTATACAGGTTAACCAAGTGCGTCATAGGTTTGCTTCCCTGCTAGCAGAGACTATTTTCTTTTTGTTTTGGTGGAGTGAGAAAAATAGGCATCGGCAGAGTCTCCCTCCTCCCCACCCAAAAGAAGGGAGAGAAAGAGGAGAGACTCTGTTAGCAGGGAATAGGTTTGCAAACACACGAGTGGGACTTAGAAAGTTTTCAAGGATTTTGGTTCTCCTTGTGTTAGAAAAAAATTCAATGGCAGTCAAGATTTGAACCCAGCACCCAACCCAGATATTACGATGCCAATCCCAACCCTAACCCTAAACCTACACATGAAAAGCATGAAAATACTAATATGAATTTTTGTTTTGCAGGATTTGCAGAAAACAAAACACAAGTACTTTAAAGATGAAGAGGTTAAAGATTTTTCTGAGTTCCTGACAGACTCGTTTGGAAGACAGCATAGCTATCTTAGGATATCTTTATCAGAACGATGTAATCTTAGATGTAAGTGCATATATTTTACAAGGGAGGGTCCATGACCTAATTTATACTATTTGGGCCACCTTGAATTGACCAGCTTTAAGCTGCCTAAGATGTACAGCATGTGTCTAAGATATACAACTTTACAGTAGGTACAGAACCCACATGAACATAGAAGGGATTGTGATGAGTGTTGGATGCCTGGACCTTAAGCCCTGCTACAGATAACAACAACAAGATCTGTTATAACTATAGCCTGCAAAACAGCCCTCAGGAGGAGGGGGGGTGTGGGGTTCCCCTTCCCCAAGCAACCCCCACATCAGAGAACTGCTACCCCCCAACCAGACTGCACCGGTGAGCCCTTACACAGGCTATGTCATAACAGCCCCTCCCCACAAAAAAACTTAAGAGTCTGCTGGTGTTACTTTAATCGAATCAGTGTTCAATGCCTGTATTTCACTTTTATATAAAAAACTTAAAGGATCAGCCTTTTTTGTATGCATGATAATGATGTATGCAAGATCACCAATAAAAACATTTTTACAAAAATTGTTTTTCTGATTCAATATAAAGGCCAGTATTGTATGCCTGAAGAAGGAATCCAGCTCAGTCCCAAGGATGAGTTACTTTCATCTGAAGAAATCATAAGACTAGCAAAACTATTTGTACAAGAAGGTGTGACAAAGATACGATTGACGGGGGGTGAACCCCTTGTTAGAAAAGATATCGTGGAACTCTGTGGTAAGATGAATTTATTTCTTATTTATGTTTGCTAAACTTTTTTTTTTAATAATGTAAGGATCAAGATATGTGTAACAGCCACGCAGACAGCAGTCATATATGACCAGCCAAATTAAAGTAGTTTTAGCCCAGCCATACTTTATTTTTGCCTAATTATTACTATATTACTGGTCAAAATGACTGGCAAGGCATATAGTTGTGACTCAGGACAAGTTCCAATTCTGGCTGGACATTGTCCAATGTCTGCATGCATGGCCATTATCTTAAGCCCCATAATGAATGGTCAACATAAATAATTTGTTCATGCATTTTATTTTTGATCCAAGAATCAAGAGACCAATGGCTGCTCCATGGCCAGACAAGATGACAATTAAGTTACATTGGACTGATTATCATGTGAACATTGAAGTTGACTGAACAATGGAATTATTAATTGCCAATTTTAATTAGGCATTTTTGATTGACCTGCTGTTATCATTATTAGCCCTAAGCTGGCCAAACAATTTTTAACGTTTTATTTGTAGAGAAACTTTTTCTCCCACATGTACCCCCTTCCCTACATGAACACAAACAAACACATATGCATCTAGGCACAGTTATGTTACCACAGGCTGTATTCATTATGATAAACCATAATTTACTGGTAATCCATGATAATTCTTATAATATATTACAGCTGTTCTTAGATATTTTTACTGGTTGATTTGCAGGGGAGCTTGGTAAGATTGAAGGCCTAGAAACATTAGCAATGACCACAAATGGCATTACTCTCAGCAGAAAGCTTCCACATTTGAAAAAAGCTGGTGTTAATCTGCTTAATGTCAGTCTAGATACTTTGGTACCACAAAAATTTGAATTTATCACAAGAAGAAAAGGTAAGTCAGTGTACTACAGTGTACCATTAGAAACTACCCTTGATTCATATCCCTCCCAAATTCTAGTGACTATCTCCTGAGTTGAATAAGTGGCCGAGGCTTAATTTGTAAACTCTGCCTATCCCTTTAGCTCATTTCTGGGTCACCCAACAAGCTACTCTTTAGAATTTCCTTACAAAATAAAAAAATTAGACTCACTTCTCAACTCTTGGGTCTGAGGTTTGGTATTCCTGGACTCAGATTCTCATGTGAGAAAAGTTTGATACAGTAGGTATCTCCCACTCTCTTTTTCTCTCTTGTTTTAAAGCTTTTTCTCCTAGTTCTCTGCTTTCCCTTCCTCTGCAAAAACTAACAAGGAAAACCCTAAGTATCTCTGCGTAGCAAGCTACAAAGTGGTCATTCAGCATTCAGTAATCAGAGATTAAAATTTAATTTAATTTAATTTAAATATTAATAGTATGTAAAATTTGGTTTTTGTGATTCGTTTTATTCTTCCCATGTTTGATTTAAAAGTCTAAATAGCTTGGCTATGCATCCAATCCTGTCCATCTCATCGAGGTGACCCTGATTATTATTATTTGATGTTAATTTAGGATGGCATAAGGTTATGGAGGCTATAGATAGTGCTCTTGATCTTGGTTATGAACCTCTGAAGGTAATATTAAAAATAATTTGAAACTAGCTGTTCTCAGGAGCGAATACAGGAATTTTAGCAAGGGGGTGACTATTACAAAAGTTTTACCAGGAATTCAAGGGAAAGGGGGGTGACTGTTACTAACGATATACTGAGAAATTGGAGCAAAATAGGTGTGACTAGTCACCCCTTTTACCACCCCTGGTTCCTCCCCTTGTTCCTCCCCTTGTTCCTCCCCTGTACGAAGAGAAGACAATGTGGTCCCAATCTTTGTTGCTCCAAGATGTGCTGTTAGTAGTACCCCACCCAACAATGAGGGGGGAGTATTACTGTTACTATGGAAACTATGTTTTTTTAATGGGGGGAGGACTGGGACTTCAGAGTGGAGAGTCAAACCTTTTTGTTTTTATAAAAGCTTTTCCTCATTCACTTGGGGATCAGTCATTCTTTAAGGGGGGGGGGGGGGGGGGGAGGGGGGGTTGAGGATAAAATGTTTTTGATTTTACAGACCCCAACCTAGTAGGATTCATGTTTTTTGGTTCTCCCCTTCAATCCTTTAAAAAATCCTCCCAATTCTCCTTTTGACCTTTCAAGGCCCCCATGTTCCCCCCATTTTCTCCTCCCCCTCCCCCCTCCAACTTAAATGATGACTGTTCCCTTAATGAGAGGGTAATGAATTTATTACTGAGTGAAAGGGAGAGGGCTACAGCCATGCTACAATCATTTTAAAAATGGTTACTGCGAATCCCCCCAGCCCCCCCTCCCCCATGACAAAACGTACCTTCCCTAAGGACCACTAGTTGGATGTCACACCAATGTTAAAAGCTATGTAGCTGTATCTGTAACAAGTGCTACCATTTGACCACCCATTCATTCCAACAGGTCAATTGTGTTGTGATGAAAGGCCTCAATGAAGATGAAATATGTGACTTTGTTGCTCTTACAGAAAATAAGGTAACGTCTCCATCAATATCATCTTTCACAACTTTGCAAACAGGTATTTTTAAGTAATATATGCAGTATGAGTGGCCGTGTTGTATCAGATATACAACCACGAGGCATAGCCGAGTGATTGTATATCTGATACAACACGGACACGAATACTGTATATGACTTATCAAACGTCTAGGTTAGTTCGTTCGTGTTTCACTAAAATTTTCAAAATTAAAGTGAATTTGGCCAAGAAAATCCAACTTAAAGTTTATGCAAATGAACACAGTTTAGTATCAGATTTACAACACTCTTCACGGTCGTGATTTCTGTTGTGTTTTCCTCATGAATTATTCATGAGTTGGATAATTAGGTTTAGAAAATAACAACATGAAGTAATTTATGGAACCTCTTAGGAACTTTTAAAGAAATCAGTGAGCTCTTTCTTTGCCTTCAGTTGTTAGATTAGATAACATAATAAAAGTCATTTTAGGCAAAACGTTTATGCCATACTTTCTATAAACTTCATTTTCATTGTTTTTTAGGCTGTTGATGTCAGGTTTATCGAGTATATGCCTTTTGATGGTAAGTAGGTCATCCATTTGTTTCTGTACAGTATGTATGTATTAACTTAAAGGTATTGATTTGAACCCAGGTAACAAGTGGAATGTTAACAAGTTTGTGTCATACAAGGACATGTTGAACTTGATCAAAGAAAGATGGCCTATTGTTGAGAGACTTCAAGACCACCCAAATGATACTTCTAAGGTAAGCTGGGGGAAGCTATCAAACCATTAATAGCACAGTCCAAGTGAGTGACACAGCCCAATCATTTTTTCAAGAATAGCATTTCAAAATTCTCATGTCTGCATATATATATGAACTTGTCTGAAGGCATAGAAGCCTTTTATAAATATCTTGAATTTAAAGCTTTCCTGAATTTACTTAACTGACCACGAAGTAATGTCTCCAAGATTGAACTCGATAAGATATACAGTAATCACATGAATATGAACACATGAAGTCCAAACTTGACTCGGAACCATTGTTTTGTGGTCACTCAAGCGAATTCGGGAAAGGTGTATTCATCAATGAGTGTGTTTATTCGAGTATTTATAATTTTTTGCTGCTCAGCTTAGCGTGAGAAAAATATTATTATTGTTTTCTGCTTATCCTTGCTTTCAGGACTTGCTATGAGTTGTCCATATTATGAATAAACTAGAATGTTTCCAGAACTGTTGCAGTAAAAACGTCACTATTCTTTACTTTCATTATTCCTTACTCTGTTTTCCCAGGCATATAAAGTCGCAGGATTTCGAGGTCAACTTGGTTTTATCACTTCAATGAGTGAAAATTTCTGTGGAAGCTGCAATCGCTTAAGAATAACAGCCGATGGAAATTTAAAGGTTAACAAGCGAGAAAAATCAATTAGATCTCTTTACATTGGGTGTAATGTTTTCCCATTTCAGGTCACGTGTCATTCTCTTGAGAATAAGATTCTTCGTTCGAGTCTTATCCATATTTTTAATGCGCAACCATTAAACAAAGAAATTATACTCTAGGAAAAGACACATAGTCTGAAATGGGAAAATATTAGGCACTTACGCGAAAAATCACTATTGATATTAAAGGTTTAAGGTGAAAGCAAATCAAAAGAAATTGTCCTTGTTTTACAAGGCTAGCTCCTCTAATAGCCAGTGGCAAAAAACCTGTGGTTCCATGAGCGAGTTGAAATTTAGAAGTTGATTTTTTTTGGAGGAAGCAAAACCGGAGAACCTGAAAAAAACCTCAAAGCACAGGAGAGAACAACAAACAACTCTACTCATGTGATGAGAACAGATAACTAGCTAAAAACTAGTGTGAGCTGCTTCAGTGTTTCTAATGAAACAGTAATGATAAAAGGGTAAATTTTGCACCGTGAAGATGAAAAAACTTACTGACGTTTCGGACGCTAGTCCTTCGTTGGAGTAAAATATGTGATGGTGCGTCTGGGGACCAAAGCCATGAACACATCGTTGAGAGGCAGCGCATTAGCAGCACACACACACCGCGCTTGTTATAAGAAAGGAAGAAAAGGTGCAAAATCTGTATTGCATAAAGGTGGAGTCATTTTAGCCTGCGAGCCCACCAAACCCCACACCCAGAGAGCCTGTAGAGTCATTTAAATGGTTTAACAAATGCACAATCCCTAGTCATTCGTTAGTCCATTTCAATGCGTGAAATACGCCAGTAAAAGTAAACTAAATTAAGCCTTTTAAAGCTTGAAATACTAAAATATTAAAATGCTTGTGTAAAATTTTTTTTCTCGATTCCTTGTCAGGTGTGTTTGTTCGGTAATTCAGAAGTGTCTCTTCGTGATGCGTTACGTTCAGGTACGAGTACAGATGAGTTGTTGCAGATTATCGGTGCTGCGGTTGGACGCAAGAAAAAGCAACATGCTGGTATGTTTGGACCTCTTTTTCAAAGGGGAGATCTTATTTAGTAACGTACTATTAGCTCTGCGGCCATGATGTTCGTAATGGCGGGGGGGGGGGGGGGGGGGGGGGGGGGGGGGGGGGGGGGGGCACTAAAGCATGGCCAGTTCCAGTTTGCCCTAAAGGCCTCATTACACGGAGTAATTTTCTCTGCAACTTGTCTCGCATCAACGTTGTGACAAAAGTTGCATAAGTGTTTACGCGGTGCAACGGGGACGCAAGCAATTGCTGCAAATTGTCTGGCAACATTTTTTTCAAGTTACGCTGTAGGTTACACGCTGCAATGCTCCATGCAACTTGTGTCGCAACGCCGTTGCAAGACAAGTTGCAGAGAAAATTGCTCCGTGTAATCGCGCCTTAAAGAAAGTAGTTATTTCTGAAGAGGGAGGAAACCGGAAATCTGGAGTAATTCCCTCGAAGCACAGGAGAGAACCAAACCTAACCCAACCCTTGACCACAGCTGTGAGCGGAAGTGCGTTTATAGCTCTCGCCACCCATGATCTAGTAAAGGAATTAAGGGGTTTTGCTGTCCAACTTTCTCTTTTAACATGCAGTATCCTTTTCGTTGAAATAAAAAAAATCGAAGACAATCTTAGTTATGGTATCAGGAAGTAATAAGGGAACAGAATGTTCTCTGTAGCGTTTAAAAATCTGCCATTCTTCACACTACGCCCTTCACTCTGCTCCAGTATATATATTCTAATAACCAGGTGTGTCATTGTTTGTGCTTGTCAGGTATGTTGAACATCGCTAAACAGAAGAATCGTCCCATGATCCTCATTGGTGGGTGACTATCATGTATGTACTTCAACATGCTTTCTTTGGTAAATCAGAAGTTTTCAGTAATAATTTTTATCCAAATCCCTCCCTTCAAACTCTTTCTATTACACTGATGCCTCTATTAAGCGGTCCCTTCGGGAAATTGCGGTATTCGCTGTATAGCGGTTTTGCACCTTGTTAGATGGCAGAAACAATACAATCATTTGTTCTGCCATCTAACTACAAGCAGTCTTAGGCCTAGGGCAAACGTCGAACTTTCCATCCACCGAACTCATTAAAAACAATGAATATCAGGTGATAATGAGGCGGCATTCTTTGATATAATTAAGTTCGGTGCATGGAAAGTTCGACGTTTGCCCTAGGCCTAAGCTGTGTTATGGGCTTGGGCGCACGTGATGGTGCAATTTTACAGTAAATACAGAGGTACCACGTGGATACCTTTGGGACCTTTTCACGGTGTATAATTTACCTTTTTATCATTACTGGACCTTGTTTGGATGGTGTCCGCTGAATAGAGGTTTGTTTTATATAAAAAAGGAGATATAATTTCCAATGTCGATCTGAGAAACCAATATGGAGACGAGGTTTGCTGTTCTTTTAGTTTTCAATTCACTGTTATTACTATTTCAGTAGGGAATCAATTCACCATGCCATGGAAGACATTTGGTTACTCCTACAAGCCTCAAACACCTTCAAGTCTTCAAATACTTCATACTCGAGCTTACTCGAGTGATTCTCAAGATGAATCGAAAACCACCAACACGACAGGTAGTGAGAAAGAAGCACCAGCTCTCAGCCACATCGGCCCGGATGGCGCTGCTAGTATGGTCGAAGTCAAAGACAAGCCAGAGACTAAAAGAGTTGCTATAGCAACAGGCGTGGTTTATCTTGGAGAACAGGCATTCAAACTGGTTAAAGAGAATCAAATCAAGAAAGGCGATGTACTCTCCACAGCTCAGTTAGCAGGCATCATGGCTTCAAAGACAACGTCTACTCTCATCCCTCTCTGTCATAACATCCCCATCACCCGTACTGATGTTCGCTTGACGTTGAACGCAGAGACACAAGCTGTTGAGATACAGGGAAGCGTGAGCACGGTTGGGAGGACTGGGGTAGAAATGGAGGCCCTGACGGCTGTTAGTGTAGCTGCTCTTACCGTGTACGACATGTGCAAGGCTGTATCACGTGACATTGTTATAAGTGACGTCAGACTTGTCCATAAAAGGGGCGGCAAAAGCGGGACTTTTACAAAAGTGAAATAGTAAATCCATTTTTATAAATAGTCCCCTTCACATTTCCCTTAGTGCGCCATCTTGAAAAATAGCATTGCATGTTCATCGAAGCGAGAACGGCGGTGACCTTGCAATGATAGAAACCTTTTTATAGACATATCTAACAACTATTCACATGTCTCTATCATTGGAAGATAACCGCCATTTTTGTTTTAATACGCAAGCACGGCACGGTTACCTTTAAAGATGGCGCATGGAACTGTGAAGGGGACTATCGTACGAACCCATTTGTATATATCATTACAATAGACTTCTCAGGCGCAATGTTTTCCCATTTCACACAACGTTTCATACCCTTGAGTATTATTTCTTTGTTTAGCGGTTGGACATGAGAAGACACATGAATATGGATACAACTCATACAACGAATCTTATTCTCTAGGGAATGACACGTAGATGAAATGGGAAAACTCCCCAGATGAGCTTTTCAGTTCTTGGAGAGAATGATGGAAAAATATAGTCAAATAAAAGGAAAAAAAGGGAAAATATTATGCGTAAGGTAAAGAGGTACTACAAATCGACTACCCTTGGAGAAATGGCTGCTACAAGTACTCGATTGCTGTTTAATAAATGTATAAATTAGTGCAAAGTATTTGAAACTTTGACAACTGATCAAAAAATAGAGGGTGGTCGGTTAATAGAGGTTATGTCATGTATTGGAATGTATTTTTATACCCACAATACGGAATATATATAATCCATTTATAAATATTAATAATTCGATAGCAATACAAATCTACTTGATAGTGAGCAATATTGAATTAAAAGGGATATTAACATCACGTGAACACTAACTCTTAGTGTGTTTTTCCTCCCTCCTCTCAAACCAACCCTAACTAATTCAAACTGTTTAGAGCTATGCTCCGGGGTCATACATGGACTGTATAGTGGCTGCCAGAGGTGCCTTCACATGCTTTCAGTTCGACCCCGTTGATGTACTTTGCGGTGGTGATTAGCAGGCTGAATACTCTGGCAGCTTTCTCTGAATTGGGCCTGTTTTTGCTCAAACGCACTACCACTACATTCAATATTCTATGTACACAACACTCAACTTACATGTTGATATTTATGGAGGGAGGAACCCGGAGAAAACCCTCGTAGCATAGGAGAGAACAACACATCAAAGGAACTCAATTCACATGTGACGACCGCAGGGATCGAACCAGCTACCCCACCCGTTGGACTCGCAACGGTGAAAGACGGCGCATTAGCAGCAAAGTATCACACGCCACCCACATGAAGGCACCCTTACCCCAATCAATCAATTTGTCATCTAGTAGCATTGATTGTTAGCTTATACTCGGGAATCCTATAGCAGATACTTCGAAGGGCTTCTTGGGCAATCCTTTAAGACCCCTGGGTACTTTTGCGTGCGCACATCTTTATTCTCTGGCACAGGAGAATAGTGGACGGAGAAACGAAACTCCATTTTTAGGATGGGCTTCCCAAGTTACAGACAATGCAGTGATGTGGTACGTATATGGAGAATTGTGACAGAAAGAAACTTACGACCGGAGAAGCACTGGAGAGTGAGCAGAGACTGTACCAATACACGTTTATTAGTAAAACCGTAAATACTATTACCTTGATTTCATCAGTATATTTGCTCATTAACATTGTCATTCTAATTCATAGAGCAGTTTTCAGTTTTCGACTGTGAAAAGCTCGCGGCACGAACATGGTCATGACACGGACAGACCAATCATATTGCGCGACAATTTACTCTCGGCTTCCAATGAAATGCCCGAAACACGGCATGAACAAGGCGTGAACACGGTCACGGCCGCTGACAGACTAATCATATTGCGCGAGAAAAAAATCAGCCAATCGAAATTCTAGAAAACGCGGTCGAGGCAAGGGAAGCATACGGCACTGAGCTTTTCGCTCGGCGTACGAAAAACGCTCTGATGTTACGGTTCTTATTCAATATTAAAAGCGACAATTCTAGTCTACAAAAATTATTAAACTGTGGTTTTTGTTAAACAAATGCAAACGCAAGGAGTGGAAATATTTGTGTGCGTGTGTGCTAGATTTTGCTTCTTCTTTAATGCTCTCAATGCGTGAACCCGTGAACCCTTAGAAAGAGCAAACGCAAACGCAACACCAAAAATATTTTTTGGTGTAAACAAGTACTACTGCTTGGCATTTGCGTTCACGAGTGAATATTACTTGCGTTTGCATTTGCACTACTCGCGGGAACCAGGCATTCACTTTTTGTCCGTCTCTTTTGAAGAGCTTTTCGATTTTTGCTCCTCATCATCAAATCTAGGGTGCACTTAGCATGGATCTCGTGTGCGACGTCTGTGCGACGTCTGCGCAATGAAATAGAGTGACTTTATTTGGTCCGTGAAACAAAGTTGTGATATTTAGTGACTAACAGTCAAAGTACAACAAAAGAAAATAATGGAATTTGTGCAGAGACCATCACGTGCTGGCGCCCATAATACAGCTTGGGCTTCCTGTGGTTAGATGGCAGAACAATAAAATCTCTTTGCTCTCGGGAATTGAATTCTTTCTCATGTAAGACAATTGTATTGTTTCTGCCATCTAACATGGCTGCAGTCACGTGGTGGTGCAAAACCTCTATTAATAGGACGTTTGCATGATGGCGTCATTTGACTCCCACTACCAAGATGCTTCGCGAATTTTCGTTTATATTTAAATTTGTATTTCCTCATGAGAATAGTATGACAATTGGTGCTAATTAACTGAACAAGAGAAAGTGTGCAAGGGAGCCTGGTAGTAGAGGTCAATGATGCCATCAGACAAACGTCGTATTCACGGGCGAAGGAATTTGAAAATCTCTCTATCCGTGAAGCAGTAGAGTACTTACTATGTAATTAAAACCACAAATCGTATTAAAAACCACTGATAAACAATAAACATTTCACTTTAGCAACGCGCAATATACACCAAGACGATTATTATACAATCATACTTCAGCTGATCATATTGAAGTCAAAAAGATTTTTTCGGCATTATTCCAAAAACTATTGAATAAATTAACTATATGTTTTTCTCTTTTCTAATGAAAGACTCGATCGAACCCAGCTTGATTATTTAATCATTATGCAGCACTATGCGAAATCTACTGAGCCGCTGGTTACGCACATTTTGGTACGTGTGCGCACATACTATTTTTTTTTCTAGGAAGATATGAGATATTTTGGTCAAATCCATCCTACAGTAATATGGAGTACTTAAAAGTACTTTACTATTACTAATCGCTTCATTCAAATTGGAAATTTCAGACCACATGTCCTTACCTTGGCAATAATCTATATCACTTCGAGTGCAACCGGTAAACAAAGAAATGATATTCAAGAGAGTGACATGTGGTCTGAAATGGGAAAAGCTATATACACCCGTGTATTATTTACTTGTAAAGCGGTGTTTACTGCTGGAAGGATTACATTGCATCGACCTGAGGACCTCGTTACATTTATGTAGACCTTTCTCGAATTCGTAAAAATCTGCTGTGGGTATTACGTTTACACCACAGCAATGGTACGGCAAGGCAAGGCATGTCATTACTACACGTCAAATTATACAAATTCTATTCTATTTTGAGCAGTTCCACCAGTCCCTGTGAGAAAATCTGTTGAAACCACCTACTGTAGCTTGTGAGTGACGTCTGCCATCAATAGTTACTGTCCCTGAGGGTAAGGGAATTCACTTTCTAGAAGATCTTTTGCTGATGGACGTCGAGAACTTTTTCTATAATTTAATAACGAGAACAATCCCTTTTAAGTTGTTTTTGATCTGAGAATGTGAATGTGTTAAAGTGCCTATGACACCTAAATCAATATTTTCAGCATTGATTCTACATGAAGTGAATAGTTGAATGGTAAAATATTTTTAATTGGTTCGAGTGATTCATCTTGGAGATATCAATAGGAGGCATTATTAAATATACAATACTTTTCTAGGGGAGCAATAATCCTGTATAAAACATTGTCTCACTCAGGGGTTATAGAAAGGTTATTGCAAATTTGGTTTCTCATAGTAATCAATATTTCAATTTACAAATGATGACAAATAAACCCAAATTCCTATAATGACATAACACTCATTAGCAGATTGGAAGTATAAACCTTGATATCTTCAAGGTGCATCACTCAAACCATATGATTTTTTTATCATTCAAATATTCACTTTATTTAGAATCAATACTGAAAATATTAAGTTAGGTGGCATAAGCACTTTAAGTTTGGGTTAAAACAGTTCGCTCGCTTGACCTGTTTCTTGGGGCACATTTATCCCTTCTCATGAGAATAAATGGACAAAAGACGTGGCTGTCATGTTGGTTGACATGAATAAAGACATCAATACCGAAACATCTTTCAAAGTCAGCCAAAATGGCGACTATGACGTCACATGAACTCAAATCCTTTAAAAAACTCAAAAACTTTTGCTACGCCACTTCTTATCACACGTAATGTGCAGTTTACTTTCCGGCCCCGACTTTGATCAGCCCAGAGGTTGTTTCAGGGTTTGATCTGTGATTTAGTCGTGCCCTGACTTAGATCAGCCCAGAGGTTGTTTCAGGGTCGATCTGTGAGTTAGCCATGCCCTGACTTAGATCAGCCCAAAGGTTGTTTCGGGGTTCAATCTGTGAGTAAGCTTTGCCCTGACTTTGATCATCCCAGAGGTTGTTTCAGGGTTTGATCTGTGATATATCAGCTCAGAGCTCGTTTCATTGTCGATCTGTGAGTTATACGTGCCCTGAATTTGATCAGCCCAGCATTTGCTTCAGTTTTTTATCTACGAGTTAGCCATGCCATGACTTTGATCAGTCCAGAGGTTATTTCAGGGTTCAATATATTAGTCAGCCGTGCCCTGACATTGATCATCCCAGGGTTGTACCAATACTTACTGAAAACAACGATCCAAGAACTCCTTCGCCATGCTGCTAAATTCTTCTGGTACTTCCACACAGCATGTACTGATCTTGTACATGACTTGAACCAAAACTACATTTGGTCGTCGATATGGAGGATCTCCTGTCAACATTTCGACAATCACACAGCCAAGACTCCTGGAAAATCATTACATACATTTGTATACTTCTAGGTACCTCTATTAAGCCAACACCTTCGGGACCGTGTATCTAGCTGTCCGTTAAATGAAGGGTGTCCACTGAATAGAGCATACCTCTATTAAGCCAATACACCTATATATATATACACCTTCAGGACTGTGTATCTAGCTGTCCGTTAAATGAAGGGTGTCCACTGAATAGAGCATACCTCTACTAAGCCAACACCTTCAGGACCGTGTATCTAGCTGTCTGTTAAATGAAGGGTGTCCGCTGAATAGAGCATACCTCTATTAAGCCAACACCTTCAAGACTGTGTATCTAGCTGTCCGTTACGTGAAGGGTGTCCGCTGAATAGTTTGCTTTACAGTAAATATGGAAAAATATTGGTTATGTGAAGGTAAGGTTTGGATAGAGCTTTTATAGATTTCAGAGTGTAGGATGTAGGGCAGTTCAAAGGATCTCACAAAAGGATAAATACAGAGAGTATAGGGTGAGGTGGCTACACTAACCCTCCTTAGGGTCATCACACAACACTTCCCTCCCCAGAGGGACGTCTGAGAGGGTAAGGGTGGGGTAGAGTTTTTATAGGTTTCAGAGAGTGTAGGATGCAAGGTAGGTTAAATGATCTCGCAGAAGGATAAATTACAGAGAGTATAGGGTGAGGTAGCTATGCTAACCCTCCTTAGGGTCATCACACAACACTTCTCTCCCCAGAGGGATTTCTGAGAGGGTAAGGGTGGGGTAGAGTTTTTATAGGAGTTTCTATTGCAGAGAACTAGAGAAAAACCCATAGGTAAAGCAGTAACCTACCATATATCTGTATTATATGAATACGGCTCAGAGCACAACAGTTCTGGACTTGTCCAAAACACTGAGGCAAACACGCCATACTGATTGGACATGCAGTTTCCTGTACTCGTCGCAATGCCCTATAATAATAATAATAAACTCTTTATTTAAAGAGGGTAGCACGGAATAGTTACAAAATATTAAACTGGTGGCCCTCTATCTATAAAACTAATATAAATAAAACATACAATAAATATAAAAACTAATATATATACATGCACTTAAGGCAAAACATGACTATGATTAAGAAAAACAAAATAAATCTCAGCTAAGGACTCTATCTGTATGCTTTTAGAGAAACAAGTATACATGATTCAAACAGATCGGTGATTAGAGCAGATTTTTAGAACTGTGAACCTGAGAAAAACTCACATTACAAAAAAATAATAATAGTAAAATAATAATGGGATTAATAATGGAATTTCCACAGAGTAGCTCTTCTTTAGAGGTTCATTTTGGCGGAGGGAGGAAAACCGGAGATCCCAGAGAAAAACCCTCGAAGCACAGGAGAGAACCAACAAGCAACTCTACTCACATACGACACTGAGCCTGGCAGGACTCAACAAAAATTTGATTGTTTCTGAAAGGTTTCTAATCCATACTTACTTCCATGTACAATGAAATGCCAAAATCACAAAGTTTGACACATTCTAGTGTTTCATTCAGTAGAATATTACGTCCTGTAATACAAACAAAATGTCTGATAATGTGCTAATAAAACTGCATGTCATAACATTTATCTCAAAATTTATCTTCATTCACCTCGATGATCATACCACATGTTAAACTACATTTTATGACCCCATGCACATTCTTATGGTGATTTTACTTGAGTGTAAAAAATAGCCAGGTCTTAGCAGAATAAACAGTAGTGGAGACTAACTGCACTGTTTTCTTTTGTTATCTACTTTGACTGTTATTCACCCTTATCAGTACAACTTTGTTTAAAGGGCCAAGTATAATCACTTCAAGAAAATCGTAAGAGATTGTTATCGATAAATGTAGAAATGAGGCTATTATTGGGTCTTAGCTGATATTATGAACAAAAGACCTCTCATCAAGGTCTACAGGGGATTACAAGGGAGGAAAACCTGGCAGCACTCCAGAAAAAAGACATGATAAATGTATCATTTGCATATTTTTTACTCAGGTTCTTATCAAGAATGTATAATTGGAATAACAATAACAATGACGATGATGATTGTGTCATTTTTGATGATGACAATGATGGTGGTGGTGGTGGTGTTGATGGTTGTGTCTATGGTTGGGGTGATGGTGATGATAATGGTGATAATGGAGATGGTGATGATGATGATGGAATGATGATGGAGATAGTGATGATGGAGATGGTGATGATGGAGATGGTGATGATGGAGATGGTGATGGTAATGATGAAGATATTGTTTTAATGGTGTCATTTTTGATGATGATGGTGGTGGTGATGATGGTGA